AATTTATGTCACGTGACGTCATGTCGCGTGACATCAATTTTTCCGTTCAATTTCACTGAGAAATTGAGCTGGAGTATAGGTAGGGCTTCGTGTTTTCGGAGTTTATTTTTCGAGGGTGTTTTTCGGAGTTTATTTCTTGCCGAAGATTCGCATTTTATCGGAGTTCATATTTTTTTTATTCCCGATTCTCCGAAATTCGGAGTTTAATTTTGCTGTGTTTCCTATTAAAATAAATAAAACGCCCTTGTATCAATTGAAATATCTTCAGTTGAATTTGGCGTTGGTGCCCATTGCCATAGGCAATACTAATTTCGCCACGACAAAACTCACACACAAGTGGCGCTTCGATAAACGCCGATACCTTAAAATCAATAAACTCCCGGAGGTAGTCGCTAGGAAGCTCGTAGTCGTTCCATCCTATTCCATCAATCTAGCCCGCGGCTGCGCGAGGTGGAGTGGTTAAGGAGGTAATAGAGAGTTTCGACTGCCTCTCTTCCCAATTTCATACACTCTCTACTGTCGCTAGCTTCCACTGTTACTAAAACATACCCTTTCCCTTCACTAAATCCCAAATCGCATGGCCCGAACTGGAAACCAAAAGAGTGGCTTCTGTCGTGACCCGAATGTACAACGTACGACCTGTTGCCCTGAATCAACCTTGAAGAGACAAGCGGCAAGACCCCTTTGACAACGGTCCGAAATTTTAAAGATAATTATGGTGCCATTTTCCCAAAACCATTGGCTCTGTGCCGATCAAACTGTAAAAAAAAAAAAAAATGTATCTTTTTTTTTTTGGGAGGGGGGGGGGGGGGGGTTGGCATTGAAAGATAAATATTCGGAGTTTATCAGTTAAATCCGAATTCACCAAAATTTTACCGGCGGGTGCTTTTCGGAGTTTTTCGGATTTATCCGAAAAACGGAGCCCTAAGTATAGGCCGTCACTTGACATCAAATGACAACACGTGATCTAAACTCGAATTCAGTTTCCCCGCTTAATTTAGCGGGAAATACACAGACGGATGTACACAATTTTGGGATTTGGGGAGAGGGGCGAGAGAAAAATTCGTTAAAAGTATTTTACGCTTTAAAAAGGGGTACTCCGGCGTTTTCTTCATAATCCACAAATTGCCTGAAAGACGTGTTAAATGCACCGAAAAGCATTGCTGAAATGGTAATTCAAACATTGGATGAAAATTAATTTTTGGCGCGAAGTTATTGAATTTACAATATTGGTTCTCTCCGTATTTTTCAAACTGGAAGTCTGTACTGGCAACAATAAAAAAGCGACACCAGCAGCAGGCATTGATTCACTCTTAGGACTGTAGACTTTATACCTATCTGATTAAAAGAAGTTTCCTGGTGCCAAATGAATGCTTCGGAAGCTCGCTCCAGCAATCGCGCACCAGCACGAACCAAATGCTCGGCATAGACCATCTTTAGACTGCCCGCTCCAGCTGCAAGCCTGTCTTCCTCTGACGTCCCGACACTGAAGAGCTCAGTTTTGGTATCATTTTAACTTGTTGTTTCCGCAATAACTATATTGAATTTCGCGATAATAAATAGCATACCGGAAAGGGTAAACGCCGGGATTCCGAAAATATAGCTAATTAAGGTAACTAAAAAAAAACAAAAAACAAAAAAAAAACGTCGGAGCGTTTTTTTAAAACACAACGTTGTCCTGCCTGAACACTAGAGAAATTCATCACAAAATCCGAATCAGAACTTTTTCTATATTTAATGAAGATCCTATGAAGGAAAAAAAAGTAACGTAATGAAGAAAATTGAAATCCGCCAAAGAGCGATTAACAGCACTGATGTAACTCGCCACGAAACTTTTTTTTTTGTCTCTTCTGGAGGTCATTGCTTGATCTAGGAACATATATCTGCGACGAGGTACGATTTTAGTGGCAAGTATTGGGAGCTGGCAAAACTTTCCTGTCTTCCGAGCTTTCTTTACTTTCATTCTTGTCTTTCTCTGAAGTCATCGTACCAAAGCAACATAACCAAATTAGATTATCCGAATTCGACAGCATTCCTCACGCTGTACCAACTGCACCCATATTGAGTACGTAATCGAGTGGATATGATATATGTTTTTCCCTCTGGCATCTTTTATTTTTTCTCATCCAATAATCACTCTAATATTATTAAACAATGAAAAAAAAAGAACCTTACTTCAACGGAACGCACCCAGGCAAAACCATAAGATTGAGGGGCTCTTCTTTGATGGAATATGTTAAAACCGGTAGCTAAAACATCTCTTTACCTTTTTTTTTTTTTTTCTAAATGCTGGAGAGGTAATTTCGATGATGATTCAACTTCCATTTTATTCTGGCATTTTAATCTCGTGCTTGCTTTTACCTTCCTAGTTTTGCCAGTCGGCTTTATCTTCTTTCGGGACGTAAGGTGTTCATTCTGATTTTGATTTATGTTTGGTTGAAACGGTTACGTTAAGTGCAGTTGAGCCAGCTTCTTCCCCATCGGTTTAAAGTACCGGTCTTACACCATTGGCGAGTTTGAATATTTTCCAAAATGCCCACAACCTGACGGAATCTGTTTGCTTAGAAGGCGGTGTGTAAGTAACTGATATTTCGGATTCATTTTAAAGAATCTCGTGTGGCATTATCTAACCATTTGTGCGTATTTCGTTGGGGTATGCAGATTTCTTTTGTTGGTGCGGCGCCGCCCTAGGCCTTGAAACTTTCATTTAAACTAATAAATGCCACGTAACGTTTTACCTTCAGCAGATTAAGGAACAAAATCGATATAGCGCACAAAAAACGAAGACGCATCACAAGCGCTGACTCTCATGCTGAAGATTGTGTGAGACGAATTTCGGTTCATCTGCATAGCAGGGAGATGGGTCGTGTGTATGTTTATAGAGCCTAGAACGTGGTCTGCCTCAACGGGCGACGAGTCTCCTAGCTGTAGATGAGCAATTGAGCCAGTGCAGTACAACCGCTAGCCTGGGGTCTTTAACGTGCACCACACATGTGATACACGACCGCACGCCGGTACGATGCTCATCCAGATCGAAACAGAAAGGGTGGGGATTGAACCCAGAATCCTGGATTCTGCAGCGCGAGCTTTAGCTCCACGTGCTCCGAGCTGGTGTGCGCTAGCCCACTCGTCCATCGGTCCCCCCTTTTAAAACTTCAGTAACACTGTACTTCAGTTGAGAGTGCGCTCGTCTTGTGTACACCCTTCCACTTCGTCTTCGTTTTTTGTGCGCTGTGTCGATTTTACTAAGTATGAACCAACTAGCCCGCATCGCCACCCTAATTAACGAGCAAAAAGGATATTGCCAGATACCATATATATGGAGAATCGTAAGTTCCAAAAGTGCCTTTCGTCTCAACAATCAGCTTTATCTAATACCATAGACCTCCAGATCTCGGCTTATCAGAGTCTCCATTCTTTGTCCTTCGAAGAAGGCGTCCAGGAGCAATCGGACCTTCTTCCCACATATACGTTATCTGGAACCGTTAATATACCATTCTTTCTTCGAGCAGACAAAGCTATCTAGCAAACGACGTCGTCACGTGCGGCACCACGTATTCTCTCATCGTCCCCCAAATGCCTAGCGCCCGACGGGAACAGCAATTTCAACTTCGGGGAACCGTTCTGTCGTCGCTGTCATTGTTCCGCAGCAGAACAATAAAGAGAAACGCCTCTCTGTTTATCTTTCTTTTGTTTTTGTATTATACTTTGAAGACGATAAACGCGCGCTAAACAAAAAAATATATTTACAAAAAATCGGCTAACCGAAACTTCCGCCCGATCTTTCTTCCAGTGTACAAGCGAGCAGCAAGACCTCTTGAATCCCTGACAGGCTCGCTCATTCACTCGCTGTGGTTCCTCCGCCGCGGAAACGTGTGCACGCACCACCGACAACAGCAGTAACACCAACAAGAACAAAACGAAACGTTGGGCTGGATCCTTTCTCCTACTCGCAGCGCAGCGAACAGAAGAAACGGACGGAGAAGAGAGGCTCGGAATCCAGGCGTCACCTTCCTTTCCGTTCCGTTTCATTCTGTCGACGCCGCATTTTCCTCTCGTCGATGACGTGCGTCTTCCGAACCATCTGGAAGAACTTTCGAGAACGCCGTCGCGCCGATGCGGACTGGCATGACATCGGCCGAGGCTACGAAGGATACAAAATTATGATGGAGTCGTTATTAATTCCGGACGTTTTGTCCGTCCGCAACAACAAAAAGAAAAAAAAAAAAAAGGCGAGACAAAATTCAAGATTCGGTCGCGGAGAAAGAGGACGATGAGGATGCGCGCTGGACACTTATACCATAATGAAAATGCAGACGGCGTTTATGAGCGCGGAGGGACGCTCCATTGACCCGCCTTCTTGTCTTTGTGTACCGGCGGGCGCCGGCAATCGCTCGACCTCGGTCTCGAAACGAGGAGAAAGAACGGGGCTTGAGAAACGGGAAGCAAAAGACGTCCTCCATCTCCCCTCCGCAACCGACCTCCTCCTCCTCCTCGGTTAAATGACACGCGACGATTACGTAATCGTGCATCTTTAGAGGATACCACTGGGCCAGAAAGGAGAAGAACGTGTTGTCACCCCTCCTTCAATCTTCGCGTGCATGCTTCTTTAGCTACACTGCGGAAAATCTGACGCAGCCCGAGCGTGGCGAAGCCGCATTCTGCTTCCTTGGGCACACCATGCACATTGACGCGCGCGCGGGCGGTCGCATGTGACACGCCACGGAAGCAGCCGCAGCTAGACCGACTCGGTCTAACGTCTGTGTCGGTGCTACCGTGCCTTCCCGTTGTTCTTCTTCTCTTTTCATGTTTTACTTCGTTTTATCTTGGGGGAAGCGAAGTGAAAGCGGTCAGTAGAGCGGTGAGCAAATTCGGCGTTCAAGAAGGGAAAGTTGCGCGGTGTCATCATTGCGTCCGGCGACGCCGCATGGATTCGTTCATTCATCTCGTCCGTTGACTTCGTTCCTCGAGTTGTCCTGTTTGGAGTTCTCGCTCGGCGTGGGCTGATTTTCTTGTGCGTCTTCGGGTCTGGATTACGAAGCCCTGCGAGTGCTGCTGAGACGTGAGTACATCATGGCTTTCGTCGGTGTTGAGCGACTGGCCTATAGTGCTTCTTCGACGCAGCTAAGCGAAGCTCTCAGGGCGCTCTTGTAGAAATACTTTAAGTACTTCTAAAAGTGGGTGAGAGGTTCGGTGTGTTGCATATGCCGACTACAGAACACTGAACTTGAGGACGATATGGTGGCGCTCTTTTTAGCGGTTCAGGCGACTCAGCTTCCAACTAGCAACGCCGAGGCAGGCCGGCCCTACTGTGCACAAAGGATTTCTGAATAAAATTTAGCTTATATTTTTGTTTGAAGTCAATCCCGCTTCCCCTGGTGTACCTTTGTCATCCGTCGCCCTCATAAAGCGATGCGTTTTGTAATCGAGTGAATGTCTGCAAGTTACATTTCTTTTGGCGACGGCACTCTCTAATGTCCGGTACTCCTGCGGTGGACGCGTCCCCAACCTTACCAACTGCTCTTATTTATTGTTTTATTATATTTTATAGAATATTATATGAGGGGTGTTTTGGTCTATTTTCTTGAACGAACTGAACTATTGAGGATCCGTGTCACCACTTATGCTACGGCATCGGAGAAATGGGTCGACGCGAGACCCCATTACCAATACACGGGCGCTCAAACCTTTCAAATCGATTATGTATGAGTACGGACGGAATGCAGACGTGAGCAAGATTTCCTTCTGCGCGACGGCCAAGGCTAGCTCCTCCCATAGCCGCATCCTTGACGGGTACCGGCTTTACGCAAAATGCCGATGCCGTAGTGTCATACCCGCAAGGTGATTCATTTGTGAGCCAACTTCGCCACTGTTTAATAGTGCACCATCTGAAAGTTTGCAAAAAAAAAGTAGAAAATTTGTATTTTTGTTACTGTGGCCGTGCAGCGCGCAAAGAGAAAACTTCTCGAGCTAAATGTAACTGCAAAGCCTGCGCACCGTTTCCACGCGTTGCGTTAAGGTACGAGAGCTTACGTCGGTTTACGTCGAGAGTCACCGCAGCATTTGTGCTTCGGATAAAACGTGGCAACCATGCACTTCAAGGAGTAGACAACCACGCTACATTCGAATACCGTAAACGCAAGAAAACGCTCCCGCGTGAATGGAACGTTGAGGCCCATTCACAAGGGAGCGCAAGGGTTTCAATATAGCTCGCGTTACAAGGCGTTCAATACAGCGAGCGTTTGCAGCGAGTGAGCCGAGTTAAACGCACACTGCGTATCTCTGGTTCGACCATAAAATAACTTGTACGGTTACACGAGTTCGATTTGTAATAAGAATGTAAATCTGCCGTCTATTTATGCGCCATATTCGTTGTCGAACACAGAGATTGGTTCGAAACAAGTTTCGCCCTCCTTTGTCTCGATAGCCCCAGCAAAAAGTAGCCCGTCAGTACTAAATTAAAAGCAGTATTTTGATACACAGATGACAAATTTAGCAATGACAAGGACGTCGTATATACTATATTTCTGCACACTTTTCTCCGCCCAAATTAAACTGGCTTAGGTGTCTAAACTTACATAATTTTCCTGTTCGCACTGAAGAATATGTTTCGTTCACCTCACGTATTTCAAAATAAACTTAACTGGAACATTTATGTTTATGCGCAAATGTCGATTTGATCACCGCAAAACGTGTTCAAACTTTAGAGACACGAACACATTAGCTAACAGAACTACGCATATTTAACACGCCAGAACGAGAACTAAAAAAGACGAACATTCGAAAAATCGCTGTGGTGGGACACACTTTATTTAACTACCTCGGGTTAGTAGTCGTATACTGCCCTCAGTGCCAAATTGACAATGAATTCCAAACAGACTGCCTTTCCGCTACATGCATAACCCCGGAACAAGTCTGACTTCAACTCGGTGTTATGTAACACCCTCAAAGTCAGCAAAAAGGCGTTTCCGCTCCCTTCACTCCTTACGTCGCCCTTATTTGCATGGGCGCCAGCCATTGTTTTCGGCTAGGAGCACACTTCCTCATTGCCCGAGAGGCCTGGGACCAAAGATAGCATCGCCGTATTTGACATTCAGAATCGAGTCGTTTCGCATACGGTGAAGCTGAACCCCCGGGCATGCGCATACAGAAAGCACTCGCGCCGCCACCGCCCAGACGAGTGGCCTCGGAAGCCGGCACAACAGTCGGTATCCGTCCCCGGAAATGCAAGCGACCCGAACGGTCGAACTCTGGGGGGCTCCCCCTCCAAGTCAGCTGTGACCGTCGCGCGCGGCGCGCTGGACTGTGAAGTTCGACCCGGGCGGATCCGTGCAGTTGCATATATATATATACACCGCGGAACGATCTCGTGCGAACTAAGGACCGGACGTGTAGCGTTACGCGAAGCTGGGGGGTCAAGCAGTTCTCTTTGCGTTTGTTTTGGGGAGCCTTCTTCTTCGCACAGTGTTTTCGCTTACCTGTTCTCTCTTTCTTCTTTGTCTCCCTAACCCCTTCCCCAACTCAGAGTGGACAACCGAGAGGCCAACACCGTCTATTTTCCGTTTTAATTCCGTCCGCAGCCGAGGCTACGATCCGATGGAGCCAATCAATAAGCAGCGCCAAAAGTGAATCGTCACGGCTACACCAATCACCCCTAAAAATAAAAACGCAGGATCACACCGCATTCACTACGCGTGATTGCTTTAGCCGTGGGGATAGCAAACGCGCAAAGACGACGACTGCCGCGACGATGCACTTTTTGGGGCTGCTTATTGATTGGTTGGAATCAATCGTAGCATTGGCTGCGGTCGGCCTTAACGCGCGCGAAACGAATTATAGAGAGAAAGCCGTAGTGCTTAATTTCCTACGTCATCTATACCGAGGGTCAGAGCAGGTCAGGGATTGAACGACGATTGTCGCGTCAGCACTCGACTGAGGCTCGTGTTCCGACTCGCTGAACAGCGCCAAAACCGCAATAACATGGTGTTTGTCATGTGTCTGTACGTACGCGTTTAGACGTCGCTGATCCAATTGTATGCAGGGAAGGCCCAGTGACTCGCGCTCTTGAGGCTGTTTGATCGGTCCCACGCACTCGCAGTGCCAGCTGCGTCCGAACGTACAATGAAACGAAGTGTAGAAGGTGTCCGCCTTGGGTGACATCTTTGTTTACCCTCCTGCTCTTATTTTTTTTTTTTTTTTTCTTAGCTTGCACCTGCTCCTGAACGAGATGTCCTGCATGAGGTTGCATACTTTCGAATGGTGTGTTCACTCTTACATTCTGACATTTTTCCACTCGCCCCGATGTTGATGCCTTCCCGTCCCTTCACGAAAGTGACGTGATTCACGGTGAGGGTCGAGAGCGTCGGGTCTAGAATGCTAACTACCATGAGAATCTAAAAATCACTGCGATCTGCATTTTTTTTTTTTTAGCAGTTTTACATAGAATTTGGGTCAATGTATTCTTTCTTTCGATATATCTTCCCAGATCTTCGCTGTTCTGCTTCTCCCCCCACCCGTCTTCATTTCTTTTTTTAATACTGATGTTTATATTTTCGTAGTTACAGCACATTCGCATGCCAGTGCGGTTTTTTCTGTTCACATCGGCAGCTACCGAATTACTAGACTATCACCTCAACCCGTGAGGGGGCATATGTTTTTTTTTTTTATTCAAAACCATAAATAAACATTGATAATAAAATAAAAATGTCGAGTAGCACGTAAAGGAAAGTCACTAACATGGCATCACTGAACGTTCCGACCAACGTTACTAGATTACCTCAGTTGTGGAACTCCCACGGAACGGAGTACCCCACCTCTCTCTCTTCAGTCCGCCTCCTGTCGTTCGAATCGCCATATGGATTTTCGTTTACGAACTGTGTGTTCCATAGAGTACGGTGAAACTTTATCTAGACGCTGAGCTTCGAAACGTACGTATTCCATAGAATACACTTTAGTTACCATAGCAACTGCCCGGCGCGTCGAAGGACGGAAGGCGAATTGTGGTGAGTGAGGGAGGTATACTGCTCGTGCATGCAGCGTCTATGAGCAGTTTCGTAACTGAGCTAATCTAATAACGTTGGTTCCTGCATCTATAACAGACAATTGCAATTCTCGAAATACAAAATTAAAAGATGCTTCCCTCCAAGTATCGAAACCAGGCTTCTAGCCCGCGTTTAGCCCCTCTATAGCATCGTCCTCGAGCTGGGTCGATAAATGTCAATGACACCGTTCGAAGCCATTTGACGTTGATGCAAAGGTGGGATGCCTCGTCGTATACCGTTTATTTGCTGTATTTCTTCTGACACCGTGTCCCACTTATCAAAATCCATGCTTGACGCAGAGCCGCCTTTTTGCTCTCGGTTGATTGCTTCGGGTTGTGGCGCTGGAAACGGTTGAGTCCCCTGGGAGGCTGTTCGGGACGACAGATCCATCTCGGGCCTACGCGATGTGTGACAGAGACAGATGTCATTATATGTATACGAAGAGCGATGACGCGCAATTAGGAAAGCTGGTTGATTAGTCGACTCCTCAGATTGTCGTGTATTGCTATATTGCTTCTATATAGAATACAAAATATACGCTTGCCTGCGTGTAGGTGCGTTTGTTACGGTTTCACGAAAAACGTTCGGATTGGCTGCATGAGCTTGTTGAACGCATCTTTCTACGCCTTTGTTATGATACGTGTTCTGGTTTGTCAGCATCGACAAGCTTTCTGGAAGTTCTGCTTGCACTGACGACAATCCGCGTCTTGCATGTTTCTCTGAGTCTATATACGTTTTCAACCGCTCGCACACATGTAAACGTTTTGTTATAAGAAACTATAACCAGAAAACCATCCAGCTGTTGCGTTCACACTGAACATTGACACTAAAATGAACGTCATCGTCGCACGGTGTAGTTGCACACTTTTTTTTGCTCGCAGTGCTCATGTGTGTGCACAACAGTGGAAGAGGAATCACTTTATACAGGTTGTTAAAGAAAGAGTTCACAAGAAGTCATCACTCCCCTTTTCGGTTTTGACTCTAACAACATCGACTATACCGTGAGAGTATCTGAAAACGC